ACAATGGAATACAACACGATCAGTTATCATGTGCATCAGTCACTGGGAAGGTTGCATTATATCCAACACGGATCTATAAACTGAGGGCTAGCATCAACTGAAAGCTGAAGATGAATTGACCAGACACGTTGAGGTCAACCTTGGTAGGGCAGTGATGACATGTGAAACACAATGTATGCATCAGGCAAGAAAATGACATTGCACCTCTCAAAACTGTAAAACTTTTGAAGGAATATTAAATACAGTCAAACTAAATTATAATGCAGAAAAATATCAAAAATAGTAGAAGACCAGGTGGAGAAAAACACGGCAGCCCTCTGCATATAATTGTAGATGGGAAGAGAATTGGTGGGGGGAGAGAAAAGAGAGGGGGGGTGCGAGATATCACCCAGCGAACATAACAGTGCAAAGGCACGTAATTCTTAAACATGGAAATGTTCTGAAATAATTTTTATTCCCCTTGTGGATAACAGCAACTCAAGATAACGAAAGAAAGAATACCAATTATATTTTACATTTCAGCAGGCTTCAGCTGTTTTCAAGTAGACTCCGAATAGAAGAAGCCATTGAGCTAACATTGCCTTGACTCTTCAATGGTAAATGATATCACATCTCAAACTCCATTCATTATTTCAGCTTTGGAAAGCAGGAAAATCATGGAATATTAATATCCAATTATCACCACCAATGAAAATATGATAGATATGTGCACTGTACTTATAATTTAAGCATTATATCGATCACTTGGGAGTTTTATTTGCAGAAGTTAGTGATTCATTCATTCAAATTAAAATTTTGGCCAATACAATTCGACCTATTTAAAAAAGAAACAAACAAGCTTGGGTCCCTACTATAATGCAAGGGTCCCTACTATAAGTGGACAAAAAATCAGGAAGGATGGTACTTTTTGATAAACTTGTGGAAAAGATACAACATAACCACAAAATGATGTTCTATAATCTTTTAAGATTCAAGTGCCACAACATGGAATCTATCTGGTTAGAGTTAAGGAACAAAAAAGGAGCTGTTACGCTGGTAGGGATATACTATAGACCACCAAATAGTGGGAAGGAAATAGATGAGCAGATCTGCAAGCAGATCTCAGACAGATGCAAGGCCAATAAAGCCGTGATAATGGGGGACTTCAATTATCCCAACATAGACTGGGAAAACAACAGCGCAAAGGGCAAGGAGGGGGAAAGATTCCTAAAATGCATACAGGACAACTTTCTTGATCAGTACGTTTCCAGCCCAACAAGGAAGGAAGCAGTGCTAGATCTAGTTCTGAGGAATGAAGTAGGGCAAGTGGAGCAGTTTTCAGTGGGAGAGCATCTGGGCAACAGTGATCATAACATCATTAGATTCAGAGTCCATATGAAAAGAGAAAAGGAACCATCAAAGGTGAAGATATTCAATAGGAAGATGGCAAATTTCAGTGAGTTAAAAGGGACCTACCCAAGGTGGACTGGAAAGAAAGATTGGCAGGTAAAACAACTAAAGAGCAGTGGGAAGTCTTCAAGGATGAGATAGACAGAATAAATACATTCCCACAAAAGGGAAAAGTAGGGCTTCCAAACCTCCCTGGATGACGAAGGCAATTGTATCTAGAATGAAGCAGAAAAAGGTGGTGTATGACAAATGCCAAACCCAAGATACAGAAGACAACCAAATAGAACATAGGAAGTGCAGAAGAGGTTTGAAAAAGGAAATAAGAGGGGCTAAAAGATTATGTGAAAAAAGATTAGCAGGTAAAATTAAAGGGATTTCTAAAATATTTTACAAATGTATCAAGAAAAAAAGGCTAGTCAAAGGTACGGTGGGGCCAATTAAGGACCAAGGGGGAAATCTTATTGTGGAGGCTGATGTGCTGAATGAGTACTTTGTATCTGTCTTCACAAAAGAAGTGGATGCACCAAATGCCGCAGTATTGGAGGAGAGGGTAGAGGAAATGGATAGGATAAGTATAAACAGAGGAAGTACTGAAAAGGTTGATTGCGCTGAAGGTAGAAAAGTCGCCCGGTCCGGACGGGATGCAACCAAGGTTACTATGGGAGGCAAGGGTACAAATAGCGGAGGCTTTGGCTACAATTTTTCTATCTTCGTTGGACACAGGAGTGGTGCCCGAGGAACTGGAAAGTGGCCAATGTGACTCCCCTGTACAAAAAGGGACAGAAGGACAAACCTGGAAACTACAGGCCAGTCAGCCTAACATCAGTAGTGGGGAAACTCCTGGAGATGATAATCCGGGACAGATTAAATCTTCACTTGTTAAAGGCAAATCTTGTCTAACAAATCTAATTGAATTTTTTGATGAGGTAACGGAGAGGGTGGATAAAGGTAGTGCAAGTTGATGTAGTTTATATGGACTTTCAAAAGGCATTTGACAAAGTGCCACAAGAAAGACTTGTAAGAAAGATAGAAGCCTATGGTATAAAAGGGACAGTGGCAGCATGGATCCAGAATTGGCTGGGAGACAGAAAGCAGAGAGTTGTGGTGAACAGCTGCTTTTCTGACTGGAGGGAAGTGTAAAGTGGCATCCCCCAGGGATCGGTATTAGGACCACTGCTTCTTAATATACATAAATGATCTGGACTTGGGTATAGCAAGTACCATCTCCACGTTTGCAGACGACACAGTTAGGTGGGGTAGTAAACAGTAAGAAGGATAGTAGCCAACTGCAGAAAGAAAGACAGAATGGTAAAATGGGCAGACACATGGCAGATGAGTTTCAATGTGGAGTAATGCGAGGTAATGCAATTTGGTAGAAAGAATGAGGGGAGGCAATATAGGCTGGTAATACAATCTTAAGGTGGGTAAAAGAATAGAGACCTGGGGGTGCAGGTAAATGAATCCTTGAAGGTGGCAGGACAGGTAGATAGAACTGTAAAAAAGGCATATGGGATACTAGGCTTTATAAATAGGAGCATAGAGTACAAGAGTCAGGAGGTTATGATTAAACGATATAAAACACTGGTTAGGCCTCAGTTAGAATACTGCGCCCAGTTCTGGACACCACACTATAGGAAGGATATTAAGGCATTGGAAAGGGTGCAGAGGAGATTGACGAGGATGGTACCAGGAATGAGGGACCTTGATTATGAGGAAAGGCTAGAGTGGCTAAGATTATTCCCATTGGAGCAGAGAAGGTTACGAGGAGACCTAATAGAGGTCTTCAAAATCATGAGGGGATTTGATAAGTTAGAAAGGGAAAAACTGTTTCCATTGGTGGGTGTGTCAGTGACTCGAGGTCACAGATTCAAAATAGTATCTAAAAGAAGCAGAGGGGAGGTGAGAAGAAATTTTTTCACGCAGCGAGTTGTTCGAATCTGGAACGCATTGCCTGATGGGGTGGTGGAGGCCGATTCGATAACTACTTTTAAAAACGCGGTGAACGGGTATTTGAGGAGGACGGGTTTGCAGGGTATGGGGAAAGAGGTGGGGAGTGGGATTGACATTAATTGCTCTATTCAAAGAGCCAGCACAAACTTAATGGGCCGAATGGCCTCTTTTTGTGCTGTACAATTCTATGAACATCAAAAAAGACTGGTAAATGAATGTTCAAAGCCTTGCCATTTATATAATGCCAAAAAGGGCTTATCAAATGTCCTTTGCTAGCTTGGATTCTAAATATTTCTACAGCTAAGCAAAATAATTATTAGAAGTTCTCATCAGACTGAACTCCAGCTTGAATGCACTTCTGATTTTGCATTTTCTCCCTTCAGAGTCAAGCCTGATCTCCACTTGGTATTTTTTTCCATAATGATTACTTCCTGAATTTCTTGTAATAATAATAATAATCCTTGTATTTGATATAGCACTTTTCATGTCTTCGACATCTCAAAGCGCTTCACAGAATAGACTGTAAAGTGAATTGACTGTATATTTGTGGGCGAAACGCGGCAGCCAATTGCGCACATCAGTGTCCCACAAAGTCGTGGATTTAAAATGACCAATTTATTATTGTTTTATTTTGGAGGAATTATTTGTTTACCACACACGTAAAAAGAATCTTAACTCTCTTGTGTTTGCTGTTTGAGACATTTTAAACAGTGGATTTTTAGGCACTAATTATGAAATCTTCAGAAAAAAAATACTGAAAGAATTTCACTGGTTGAATTAGTTTTCAAAAAATAAGATGTTTTCAATAGTCAAAGACAATATTTACAGATATAAACATGCCAGAGCAGGTTTGATGTGCTAATAAAGACTCTAATTATATAGTTATATTTTATTAACTCTATAATTCAACATGTAGAAATCAAAGCTTCAAGGTGTTTGGCATTGATACGACCGAGACTAGAAAAATGAAAAGTTTCAATCTCCTCTGCCAAGATTGAGACTGAATTTCTATGGCGTATTGATGTCACTTAACTTTTGACAAGCAATATGTGGCAGGTGATTGATGTATCCTCTGTACTAAATGCTCATCTGAGATAACAAATGCAACCCTTCATTTAATGAACTTACAAAGACATGGTTAGGGTTAGGTCTTATGGTTAAGGCATAAGAAGACTGATTTCCAACTTTTCATTGCTTTAATGTAATTTCTTTTCTCGGGCTTGGGATTTTGCCCCAAGTTTAGGTACTCGTGTGGCTTTGCAGAGTGTGAAGCAACACAACTCTCTTGTGTTGGCTCTTTGAGATATTTTAAGCAGTGGGATTCCTAGATATTAGTTGGGTATAAACATCGCTTAGTAGAAAGGTGGTTGCACAATGTGCAATATACAACCCATCTTCCTAGTAACCGGAGGTTAGATCGTGTATTGTGTGATCAATCATCAGTCTCGTGATCAATCATTGGTCTTGTGGTCGGTAACATTACAATGTGGAACTACTGGCCAAAATGATGCATTAAAAAGCAAATAATTCTAATCCAATGCTCTAGATTACATGTTTTACACACTGGATAATGTGAACCAAAAATACAAGATTGCATCTACACAAGTCTTTATACTCATTGAAATACACTAAAAAATAATCTAAGTACTTATTTTTTTTACCTGGTCTTGGAACAGGTTGAACGGCAGGAGTTTGAGCCTTTCTAGCAGAAGCACCTTCCTGTAAAATACAATGTTTTCAATTATTTCAAAATTGTCCACTGGGGATAGTCTGAAAAGAACTTCAAAATACATTTATAAGTCTTTTATTAGCAACTTGTGAAACCTTATGACAGTGAAAAACAATGTGTTACTATGCAACACCAACCTAAATCTCTCTACTCAAACAATAACTAGCCACTGAGAATATATATTTGAGAATAATCTTAGATATTGTGTAATCTTAGATATAATAGTCAGGCCTAAAAGCCTCATGTTACAGCGGTAATATTTCAGTTTGCTTGTTGAGAACTTAAAATAGTGATAACAATGACCATAGACTTAGTCTTGAGGCAGACATTGAAGGAAGCGAAGGAAGGGACAAATCCCAGGGACTCGGGGATGGAGTTCGAGAGAGTGGGCACATTTAGGCTGATAGTCTTACCACTCTTGATGGATTACATAAAGGGTACCAAAGTGTAGAGCTGCTGAAACACAATCACCCGTTATATTAGAAGGATGACATTGATACCAGGCAGTATAATCCTAATCAATTTAAAAATCCTTCCTAAGGTAATGAGTTTGCTGGAGATGGTGTTTTACAATTTCATAAGGAGACTATTATACATGTATTTAACCAATAACTTTTTATTCAGCAAATTTGACCATAACAAAACTGTACAAGCACCATTTGGTGACATAATAAAAAGTACATCGAGTTTGGTTACCGTAAAAGCATGCCACAAATTCAAACCTGACTCAGTGTAAACGGTCTCCAAATCAACCACACTAGAGATGTTAAACAGATTCTCAGATTTTTTGACTAATCTGCCTCCACCACCTACTTAAATGGTATATTTCAAATATTCATATTTCTCTCATTCAAAGCAGGTCTCCAAATGTACCTCTTTCTCTTTGACTGTGCTTTCAGTCATCTTTCCCCTTCCCGCTCCCTTAGCTACCACTTCTAAGATACTGATGTGTGCAAATAGGCTGCTGTGTTCGCCTGGCGTGAAAATAAACCAAATATAAGGATTATTTTCTCCAAACTGGGTGCTCACCCAGTATTAATAAGCACTTAAACACTTTCTCGATGTGAAATAAATAACTGTACCATATTATTATATTGCAGCCTGTCTGTATATTTTAAGGGGAATGTTGAATATCCCATGACATTATTTTGAAAGAGAAGGGAGTTTCCCCAGTGTTCTGGCCAACAATCCTTCTGATTAATAAATGAGTCATTAATCTCATGGTTATTTTGGGGACTTTGCAGGCACAATCATACTGGTAGCTACAATCAATCACTAAACTTGATGACTTGAGTACTTTGAGATGTTGAGGTGTGATCAGCCCCCATAAAAAAGATCAAAGTTCTTTACTAGCTGCCAAATTTCACCACTTCTTCCACAAACGATCACTTCTCCTCAGGTATTAGCTTGTCAGAGTCACACTTGCCAGTTTTTTAAATTCAAGACGGCAAGTACTGTCGTGTACAGATAGCACGTTTTACGATTAATTTTTATTTTATAAGGTGACACCAGAAAAGGACAAGAAGAGAGCCATAGATGATTAAATGAGCATCAAGGGCATATTTATTAGAACCAGCGAGACAATGGTGTCCTAAAGCTGCAGGGCAAAAAAGGATTTTCTTCCTAAGGGAATTACTTTTCAGAATACTAATGCTAGGTGTTATTTCTACAAATTATAGAAAGAGTGAAATAATTAGAATTACGTCAACACAAACCAAATAAACAAAGAAGCATCTTCCTGCGCTCCAGGTAATTTGTATGCACTTTGCTCATCAGATATACAGCTTTCAAATGCATAAACATAGCTGACAATAAACTTGTCAATCTGTAAGGCAGCTTTCTATACAGTTAACACAAAATTTACACATTTTGTGTCAAATTGTAAATCACCAGGGAACAGACTAACTAAAGACTAATGACCATTGAGCTGGAAAATAATTACAGGAAACTTTTGTATTGCTCCTCTACAAAATGTCAGCTGTGGTATCACTCATAATTTATTATTAACTAAAAATATTCAACCCACACTGCAAAAAGTGCTTTGCTTGTAACTTTAATAGTTTTCTGCAGACAAGAACAGAAAAATTAAAAATGTAGGAACTCGCTTCTACCTTAGCAAGTGAAGTTGCTGCTGAGCAGAGAAAAGAAGCTGTACCCACATCTTCTAACAACAGCTGTTTTACATGACTATCAAAATGGAGGATTCAAGAGGAATTTATATTCCTAGAATAATGATCAACTTCATAGCTATAACTGACCTAGTTGCAGCCTTGATCCAGACACAGACTCAGAAGCTGAACATTGGAGAGACGTAAGAACTGCTCTAGACATTTCCCCACCTCCGCAACATCGCTTGGTTCCGCCACTGTCTCACACCGACCAACCTTTCCGCTACTCCACTCAGTGGGCTCCGGCCTGCTTCATGTCCCTCGCCTGACCCACTATTGGCGGTAGGGCCTTCTGTCACTCTGCCCCCACTACATCCCGCAGTCCCTCCGCCTCACCCCACTCCTTTGCCTCCTTCGAGATCCGTCTCAAGACCCTCCTCTTTGACCACACATTCAGTCACCCTCCTTGCCCCATTGGCCTCCACCCTCCCCGATCCCAACCCCCAGTTCGAGTCGAAAACACTGATTATCCAGCAACTTGGGATGTCCTCTTGACGTGAAAGGTGATACACAAATGTAATGTTGTTCTTGTTGAATATGGCACCAAGGAGCTCCAGCAAAACTAAGATCAAAGGGGTTCAGGAGAAAAACTGTCAAGTGGCTATCGTGAACCTGTAGAACAGTGCAATACTTGTGTTTGAGGTGATGGACTTTGAATTAAAGGAATGACATTGTTCTGAACCGATAAAGGAGTAATACCTGCATTTGATACAACGCATTATCACATTGAAACGTCTCAAGCATATTAATTTCTATAAAGTGCAGTGATTGTATTTGTAGATGAAATCAGCAGCCAGCCAATTTGCGAACAGCAATGTGCAACAAACAGTCATGACTTGAATGACTTTTTTTTAAAATCTGGGGAATTGATGGCTTGGAAAAATTTCCTTCCCCTGTCAAAAAGTGTTTTGTGATCTATCACATCTACCTGGACAGATAGACTGGACTTTCATTTAAGATTTTATTTGAAGGACAACATTGAGTCTCCAAACATGGAATTGAAGCATCAGCCTAATCAGTGCTGGTGTTTATGCTCTACACGAGTCTCCACCCAAAATTCTCAATCATCTCATCACCAAGGGAAAAAAAGGTGCAATTTGTGCCATCTTTCCTGATAGGTGCCTTCTCTCATGTCTTTTAAAATTCTAGTAAATATACACTCTAATCTCTCCATTACCACAACATCCTTCTTGAAGTATGGTAACTGGGACTCCACATGTGGGCTAACCAAAGTTTTATGCAAATGTAACATTACTTTCACATTTTATTCTATTCCTCTAAATATAAATCCAGGACTCTATTTCTGTTCTTTATTGTCTTAGCCTCCTGCATTAGTACTTTCAGGGAATTATTAATCAGCCTCCATGTCCCCTACATAATCCGTACCACCATTAGTGAGTGGGTTTTCAGCCATTCTGCACCTACTCTCTGGACCACCATCTCACCATCCTTCCAGCTTGCCCCTCAATTCACTTTAACAGCAACAAATTACATTTGTAAAGCACCTTTCATGTCGGCAGGACGTTCCAAGGCATGGGACAGTCAGGGATCTGGAACCGAGCAGGGGTTTGGGATCATTGGGGTGGAGGGCAGGGAGGATAGGAGGGTGGTTGAAAGTGCGGTTGAAGAGGAGTGCCTTGAGACGTGCCTTGAAGGAGGCAAGGGAGGGGAACGAGACAAACTGACTGGGAAATGGAGTTACAAAGGATGGGGGCAGAGAAGCTGAAGGCCAAACCGCCGATGGTGGGGTAGGCCAGGCGAGGGTCATGGAGCAGGCCGGAGTCTGCTGATCGGAGGCAGAATATACTTTACAGGATATTCTGTGAAGCGCTTTGAGACATCTCAACAACATGATAAGAACATAACAAATGCTAGACAAAAAAAGACCAAGGTCTTTCTAGTTCGCTTCCACCTTCCTGGCGGTCACATGCACACGTATCCCAAACTACCTGTGCACTATCATAAAGTTATTTCCTAAAAGAAAATTATCTGTGTTTGAAAGAATCAACAATTCCTGCTTCAATTGTCTCCCAAGGGAGCCTGTTTTATAGGTCCACTATTCGCTCACTGAAATAGTGTTTGCTTAGATTCGTTCTGAATTTAACCCCTTCAATCACAGGCCATGTCCTCTGGTTCTACTATTCTGGACACGTTGAAACAGCCTGTTATGATGTATATTGTCTTGCCCCTTTAGAATGTTAAAGACAGCAATCAGGTCGCCTCTCAATCTTCTCTTTTCCAGCATGACCATGCCCAATTTACTTAGCCGCTCCTCATAGTCCAGTCCCTCAATCATTTTGGTTGCGCTCCTCAAAACCTTGGCATTCAATAACCTTGATAGCACAGAGTGAAAGGAATGCATTGTCTAACAAGTTAAAATGTTTGAGATGTACAACAGAAATCAGCAGAAGGCAATACAGAATATAAACATGCCAAATGTTCCCATTTACAAAGTCCCCAAAAATAAAGCTTTTTTCTAAAGTGAGAAATTGTATTTTGGGGAAATAATGTTTAAACAGCATTAAACATCCCAAATCAGTAGCAAGTTCATGCTGCCACCAATTTTACACCATCACTTTTAGTGTTAGATAAGGTTTGCAATTCCTGAATCCTACTGGACCAAAACTACAAGTAAAGCAGAAAGTGAAACTCATTGTGCTTCAGTAGAATATGTGGTTTTGAAGCTATTAGGAATGATTTTGTGATGAAACAAGAACAATGAAGCTTAGATCACTATTAGTATGAAGTCACCAGATCCCACATTCACCTCATCCAAGTCTTCTGCAAAACATCAATAAGAGATCAAGGAAATGTCTACAAAA